AGGTTGAACATTTATTTTTGCTTCCAACTGGCATCAAAAATAAGGTAATTTGAGCCTACCAACAATTCTACAGACGTGGCACGTTAGATGAAAAACAATCCATGGCAACCTGACTAATCTAGTGATCAAGATGTGAATGATTCAGATTGAAATTGAGAGCGAGGCAAGAAAGGAATGCCCACATTGTGTGACAGGAATATAAGGGCTGGGACATCATATTTGGAGATGCAAACAGAGGTAGTCATCCTAATTTTGGACTCAAGAGGGAACTGGAGAGTGTGTACCAACTATTAAGGGATAACACTTGTTTCCCCCTCTGAGAAAGTTTACTGTATGGCATTGAAAAGGAGGCTCAACACCATTTATCTGACCTTGGAACCAGAGAGTTAGACAATACGGTAGACTAGACCTTTACCTTAATAAGGTCATGAGGGTTTACTTGTCTGGTCCACATATGTTTTGTGAAGGCTACTGACTGTGTCTCTCAAGGCTTTTTATAGGTACTGTTGGAGTATGGAGAAGCAGAAGTGCTTTTAAGGGCTACTGTATCTGGTCCTTGTAGAACTGAAGTAAGAGCTGAACCCAAAAGCAAAAATCTTGATTTAGAAATCCTTGTATCAACCTTCACCCATCACTGCGAGATATAGCTCATGATTGAAAGAGCAAGAACCCTGATGCAAACAAGTACAATAAGCTTCTGCTGCAGGGTGGATGGGTTTTACCTTAGGCATAGGCTTAAGAGTTTCATCAATCATGGTGTCAAAGTAGATCCCCTTCTCCTCTGCATCGAGAGGACTGAGTTGAGATAATTTGGGTAATTTGTGTGGATTTTTTTCAAGGCAGGTCCCATTGGCAGAAGTCTTGTGAAATCTCTGAAGATGGATTGTGTTTTTTGTAACCAACTGTTTTACTGTTGCCATGACACTCTTGTAAAAGAGATCGTCGATCTCAAGGAGTTTTATCCTGGTTAAACAAAGGTTAAAGAAGAAGGTATAATATATACTTTCTGGCCCAGGAGGGTCTAGGGATCTCCAGAATGCACTAGAGAGAATTGGACAGAAGGTTATACAGACAGATGGACAGAGCAAAGATTTTTTTTTTGTAGGTGAGATGAACTCCACCATTAAAACCAACTTTTCATTCCAAATATCCATGTGTTAAAAACTCTCGGGCCGTCTGTGTTAATGTAATATGTTAAATTCTGTAGTATAAAGAGTCTGATTATGAGGGATCAATTGCAAACGCTGAAGAGGCCAACCGGCTAAGAATATCTACTTGCTGAAAAAGCCTCTCCACTGCCTGGCTCTCTTTGGCCTTCCATACTTCGATGAGCATTAAGTGTTTTCTTTAATTTGCACCCAGAATGAGCACAATAGCGCTGGCATCAGTTGCCGGTTCCGTACTCAATACCACAAAAGTCCCTCTCAGCAATATGAAAAGGAAAAAAAAAACTCATTTGACTATGCAGCAATTACATCAACACTCTTTGCTGTGAGAGTGTAAAGGGGCCACGATCCCACATCCAATAAATAGCTATTTCTGATCTGGTTATGAAAAAACAGAATAAGCCTGTTTTTCACCATTCTCTTCTTGACCTACAGACCCACCGGAACGATTGTCTGAAATAATGATGACAGTGTATCAAGCGTTCGCTGCTCGCTCCCAGTGATCCCTGTGTTGCAGTTAATCTCATCGGTCTGTGCTTAACAACCCACCGCCTTTTTAGTTAGTGCACTTGATGCCACGTTACCAAGCACAAGCAAAGCAAAAGAAGGCCGAGTCAGAATGTGAAGGATGGATTCAATTATCCAAATAGAAAATATCTTACACCCGATGTAAAAACCTGTCCATCATGAGGCTTACAAGTGCCTGCGATGAGATAATGTATTAATACTGGAAGATGGCCCATCATACGTCTTTCTTTCTTTCTTTCTTTCTCCCCTTCTTCGCTTAATCTTGACAGATATAAAGCAGCGGGGAGTCTGACAAGTTTAATATATTTCTATAAAGGCAGGCCTCAAAATCATGTGATCTGTATGTTGAACTGAGTATGGAGACTTCAAAAGTGGTGAAAGTGAAGGGAGGGGGAAACAAAATGGGGAAAAAATTGAAAGTTATGGATTGAATATATGAGGAGTGCTTTAAACCGTAGGACTTGCAGTGAATCTGAACAAAATCAGAGAAAAAAACTAAAAGATCTACAGTAGCTCGCAAAAGTATTAATATGCATTGAACTTTTTCAATTTTAGCTAAGCTACAGTGAGGTAGAGCAGGTTTTTTTTTTTTATTATGGTTGTATGTGATAGTTTAACAGCAAATGAAGTAAAATGAAGGAAATATATGGTTTTAATTGTTAGTTTTTTTTGTTTGTTTGTTTTTTACATAAAGATATGAAAGGTGTGACAGGCAATTTTATTCACCACCACCCCAACAAAAACTTTCAGAATCACCTTTTTATTACAATAAAGCATCAGAAAAACCTTTCACCTAGTTTTACTTTTTACCAGCTAAACTTTGTAAATATGGTGTCTCCTCTAAACTTATGATGTCAAAACTGACCTTTACAATATTTGAATCTCAGTCATCAACTGAGAAATCATCGCTACACATCAGATGTTTTGGTCAGTGATCCAATAGTTATGATTCCAAAGCAACTCTAAACTTCTAAACAGAGGACTTTTAATAAGGTAAAAGTTGATACTTATTCAAGTGCAATAAAACATTTCAGAAATTCAAAATGTGACTGCAACACACTGTTCTTTGTAGTCTCGACTGAATTTAAAAGCAGGTTATGGTAAACTGAAGTCTGAGTTTGAGAGATAGAACGAAAGCCTCAAGCTATGCAAGCCTGACAAGGGACGCCAACAATAAATTAAGAACGTGAAGCACCTTCACTGAATAAAAACACAAATGAACCAGATGTTATGCGTGTTGCATGCTAAAGACTTCCTGGTGTTAATACATATACGTATTAAAATACAATTATTTGCTACTTCGTCACATTTGCAGGAAAATACTTCAAGTGGTAAGAATACTCTTGCAAAGGACCTAAAACCTTTTCAAGAAAAAATAAGTTTTCTTATACATTTTAAATGAATAGCAAAGCAGCTGTCAAAACACGACAGAGAACAGAGGAGTGCTGCTTAGAGTTTCTTCTACTGACACACCCATATAATAATAATTCAACAACTGTAGATCAATAAGATTGGTTATAAGATGAGACAGGAACCACAGTGTGAGCAGATGACCCAGTTTCAGAAGAAAGACACCCCGCCAGCGTCGGCTAATCAAATTGACGAATAAACGGCGGCTCCAGTTTGGTACAATTATGGATCTTTTTTTTTTGATTAAATGTGTTGATAAAATATGCATTTGCTCTGAAGACAAACAGCATCATTACGCTGAGTTATCTCAGCATCCTGTCCTTTCTGCTCTCTTCCTGTTCTCAGGAGCGACAGTCAATTACATTTTCAACACACAAAGCGCATAATGGAAACCAATTTAATGCTCCGAGTGAAACCAACCCAGTGACCTCTTATTAACATCTTCCCAAGCAGCTTTATGTTGGAAACCCGGTCCCTGAACTTGATGGAGAAACCTGCAGACTGCTGACTGATGTAATTACACACGGATCCGAGAGAATCCACAGGGAAAGTTCTGTGCAATTACCGTCTTCTTAGTGAAAGTTCACCTAACATTACGTTAAGATTTAAATAAATTCTAAACGCATGAAACAGCAAACAGTTTGACATAAATCCTTTGTTTTAAGTAAAGATTGCTCTCAATAAAAGCTTGTCTCTTAAGGAGGCTCCAGTGTGTCAATTTCCGAGTAGAGGGCTCTAAATAAAGAATTATGACTTAGAAAACATGAAGATGAATAAATCATGGTGGCTAAACATGTCAGATTCTTAGGTTAACAAGATCGCCTTGTTGGAAAATTAAAAATACCTCCTACCTTTGGTGAATGTCAGATACATATTAGCTACCAGGCTAAGCTACCATCAACACTCTTTGATCTGGAAGCAGTTGCAACAAGAATGGAGACGAGATATTTAACTACTCAACATGATTAAGGTTTAAAGAGAAAGCCAGAAGAAACAACAACTGTCTTGCAAAGCTGACTGTATTGTTTTTATGGAGCCATTCCAATTGTTGAATCCTAGGTGCACAAAGGAGCGTTATCACATATACTTCCTTCATGATGCTGTTAAAATGTTATAACCATCACGGCTCCCAAGAAACTCAAGAATCAATGAAAACATCCAAACCCCAAGACTATTCATATCGTCGGGATTATTGGCTTTGCTATTTTTTTCACTTTTATTGTTATCATAATAGCAACGCAAAATATTACGATAAAACTTTAAGTCCATATTGCTCACTCCTATTGGCATTTTTTCCATTATTTAGAAATAGTCTGTGTATTTTTTTAAGGAAAATGGCCTACTGATGCTGCTCTATCAGGTCTGTGAACTCCAAAGCACTTAATATTAAAAAACATCAAATCAATCATTTGAATTCCTCTCTCAGACCACAACCCAACTTCCTCCATTATTATTATTGTTATTATTATTATAGTCACAGTTCTGATTACAGACACTCTCAGTGAGTGCCAGCTGGAGACGTCCTTGAAGGAAGCAGGTCCAAGTGGAAAACCATTTGGACCAACCCATCGATATAATCTTCCTCTGAGGAAGGGCTGATATATATATATATATATATATATATATATAATTAACGGCACATTTCTTTGTAACTGTATGCTTTTTTTTTATAACTATACAGTATTGTTTTATCTTATGTTGTACTTTTGCCCTCACTGAACATCATACTTTTGGTTTTCTATATAAGTGAGAATCTAATGCGGGACAATACTTTACATTACTGTTTTATTCTATTAGAAGTAAAACTATTAAAGCCCACTGAGAATGTAAAGGTAAAATGTGTTGCATCAGTCAAGTAAAGCTGTAAGCGTTGTTGGGCGGCGCCTTAAAACTTACCAAGATCCATGCTTTTGGACTTGCGGTTCTTGATGATGTCCAGATGAGCCGGGCTCTCGTACTGCTTGATGCGCTTCTCTGACATACTCTGGCGGGCGAAGCCCTCCCTCTGGAAGGAAACATCGGGTTCTGCGTCCGGACTCAGAGAGCTGTGGCCCATCGGGACAAAAAGGGAAGAAACAGAGAGGCAGATTAAACATGATGTTAACGCAGTTTACTTGATTGCAGGATAAACATCTTTAAATGTTCATCATGTACATCACGTTTCGCAGCCGTGACTGGGGCCTCTCCTGCGATACGACCGAGGAATAAAACTGACCTATTAATATTTACACATCCACAAACCTCAGCCCAGTCACCATCAGATAATGAATATCGACATTCGATGCTCACACTTGCATATATATGTATACACACTGTTTAATCTTTCATTTTAATGACTCTTTTTAATGAAGGACACCTCCACCTCTGCTTAGGTTTGGAATAATTAGAGAAGAGGAGGCCGTGTGCTACCCCAGTGAGGTGAGAGAGCTCCAGGGTCAGGGCCACTCAATTCCCATCCATCCACCCCAACCCACCCCCACCACCACCTCCACCCTTGAAACGTGTATGTCTGGAGCGTGACAGAACCCAACCCGCTTCAGAGAACTCCCTTTAAGACCTTCAATATCTCCGTCTGGATCTTAATTAAAATAAAATCAGAAGGGAGTTTAAAAAAGGGAGGTAGTCTTTGTGCATAAAGAAATGATGCTGCCATTCACTCAGACACAAAATAATTGATAACGAATGGTGTATATGCATTAGATGACTATCGCTGTGCTTTCGATTCTATCAGTGATAATATGCAGAACCTGCCAGAGGTTTACATACATTCATTCAGTCAATTACGCATTTCAGCTAGTAGGACATGAGGGAGGTATAATTATAAACCATATACTTTCAATTATTCTGGAAAAGAAAACTTGGGTGTAATGTTTGAATTTCCCAAATGCTTTAAATTGAAAACAGGGTCAATATTACACATATTTTCCTAAATATACACATAAAACCCCCACTATTGTGGCCCACTTTGCAGAAAAACCGTACTTATTTTGAAGTGGGTTTAAATTCCAACTGGATATTGTACCACTACTCATTATCAGAATATGAAAAGCTCATTTAAATCTGTTAGTTTCCTGGCACAGGCCAAAGTTTTATCCACAGGGTTGAGTTCGGGGTAATTCTACAGCTTAATGTTTGCCAACTTATGATGTGTTATGATGTGTGTCGTGGGATCATTATCCTGTTAGAGACATCAGTTGTGACGAAGTTTCAACCATCCAACTGCAGTTCGTCTTTATTCCACAGGCTTCTGAAAAGGAGGCATGAGTCGGTCCATGTGGGAAGTTGCAAAATTTACAAGGTGCCGGTTTTGGGGAAAGGTGTTTCTGTTTAGGTCAGCACCCTTTCAACCTATGCTGATTTCCAACATAACTGTTTCAGCGCCTTTTGGTTCCTAATCAGCTCCAGCCTCAGCGATTCCTGGATTTTTATTTTTATTTTTTTTTTAAACATCTCCACCAATTTCCTTGCATCTGAAGGTGACAGTTGAAGTCAGATGGTTGGAACTTAGACATAAGTCATAAAACACAGTTGGCGAGCCCAACAGGAAAATGTTGCCAAACATATCAAAGCTGGTTTTGGAATATAATACAGTATATAAGCAGGCTATCATTAGGAGTCTGGAATGTTCCTATAACCTCAATTCTATGGAGGATAGGATCTACTTTTATAGAATCAAGGGTGTGCCAGAAAAAAATATATATTTAAATGGACTTTATGAATTTGCCAAGAAAAATTCAGCAAGAATTATGGCTGAATGGATTTAATTTGTACAGTCCTTCTCTACCAATCACTTAATGTATTTTACATTTGAGCTACATTCTCCCAATGGCAACTTATGGTTAAGAAGCCTTGCCTGGGGGCATATCAACATGAGGAAGCTGGAATTAAACCTACAGCTTTCGGACGGTGAGATGACTACTCTTTCCGTCTGAGCCACAGTTACAATAACTACTTTTGCGACCATGCTCAGGGATGAAAAATAGTCAGGTTTTTGCCAGACATTTGACCAAATATTACTGGTCAAGCATGTACGTATGGCTTTAAACCATACGTAGAACAGGACCTTTAATTATTACAACACTGGCTTTGTGGTGTGCATTTCCTCGAACTTCCTATGTGTTGAACATATAGTGAACCTAATATCCATCCTTGTACTTTCACCCATTTCACAGATACTCTTTTAACTGTCTTTGCTATCTCTGTTACAGGTGAATGTCTGTTCTCCAAGTCAGGGTGGTCAAGAACAACTCCGCTCTGCTAGCGAAGTGCACAGCGGAGCGGAGACGCATGAAGTATAAACACAGGGTGATAGAGAGGTTGTTGCGTTGCATGAAGCAGCAATACCAAGAAGACCCGACAGCATAGACATCATACATTCTTCAATCATCTATCTGAGGACTTGTTCCTCCTGTTCTGGTCTTACAGCTTTCAAGCCCGTGATCGGCTTTTCCTCGCAGTTGCAGACGGTTACGTCAATCAATACAAATTAACATGTAATGCATCACTCAAAAAATGCGTCATGAAGAAGGGAAAAAAGATATAAGCCACAATATGATTGAGTCACAGGGCCAGCAAAAATGAAAAAGAAATGCTACTTATAGTTTGTAAAATACGGTAAGTCTAAAATGTCTTGTGAAGGTGTAAATGATTACAAATGTGTTTTTGAAGCAAATCCCCTTAGAGCAGCCTTTGTTCTGAGCTTTTTCCACTTCAGAACTGATGGCACTTGTTTGCATTTAAATCATTCTTTTTAAGGATGTCAACCCTATTTAACAAAATACCTGCCTTGTGTGTAACAGAGGGACTGGTGTCAACTTGTCACTTCGCCATCCACCATACCTGACAATTTTAACTAAGATCAGGCTGCCTCGCAGGGCCAACTCCAGATGACACAGGAAGAGAGTGAGGCGGAGCGGGGAGAGGGGGATGACAGCACAGATGTATTATTCATTTATTCATCATCTTTTGCTTTTTTCTCCTGTCATCATTCCGGGGGCTCACAAAATCAGCTTGCCCTCTATTTTCCTACTTCCACAAATGTCATTTGTCAGAGCATGACTGAGACAGCGCCGGCTAGAAAGGGACACATTTTCACCCCGCATTTAGGATTAATTCACTCTTACTCCTGTTGTTTTACCGGAACAATTGAACACGCGCAAAGGACGAGGACAAAATAAGAGGCCCGCAGATGCACTGTTGCTCGGCTATAGAGACTTGATGAATGTGCGACCATTTGGGGGAGTAATTATGCAGACAAATGGTCAGCATCCAGCGTGTCTGGGTGAAACTGGTGAGAAATATGTGGGCAGTAGGAGTGAAGTTCAGCGAGACAGCTCTGCAGTGGTGTCAATTCGCTTAGTGGGGAATCAAATTTAAGCTGGCAACTGTTTTAGCACCGCTTTTGATTGAATATGAAACACACAGAGGAATGACTAAATGCACAGCGTGAGAGCCTACAACAACCTGATGAGAAAAAAGGCAATTGTATTATCAGAACCACCAGCTGTCTCGGCTCCCACTGATTGTTTTTGGCATTGTGGTGCCAATTCCGTTAAACAGCTTTGATCAGAAGATGCATAAATCTTTGTGGGTGGGAGGAATTATGCAAAAATCGACTTTTTTTTTTAGCTTGATATCTTAATGATCTCTTTCCCTCATCAAACACATACCTGGAGTGTTGCTTCCACTCTTTCGTGCGTGTTTCAGGAATCCTTGAATCTCCCCTGGCAACCATTCAGGAGTGACTAAACAACTGCTCATATCATACAATACGTCAGCAATTTACCCAAAAGCTCAACATGGAGCTTCAGTCCATGGTTCCACCAGACTAGCGGCAGCAACAATTAGCAAACACCTGGTAGAACTCATCATGCAAACTACAACATTCCTAAGAACAGTTGAAAACAGCATCAATGGAGAGCCAGCTGAAGGGGGCGTGTCCAAAGAGGTAAAAGGTTCTTAAAGAGACAGAGGTAAATTTCAAGTTGCCAGATATGGGTATGATACAAAATCAAATTTCTTTAACATGTTTTTGATCTCCTGCGACAGACTGGCGACCTGTCCAGGGTGTACCCCGCCTCTCGCCCGGAACGTTAGCTGGAGATAGGCACCAGCACCCCTCCCGACCCCACTGAGGGACAAGGGTGTTCAGAAAATGGATGGATGGATGGATGTTTTTGATCTGTACAGTTTTTTTTTAATAACAACTGAAGGTAACATAGTTATTTGGTTGTGCTATCAAATGGCTCTATAAGACTGGAAAATACATAATACCCCTTTTCAAATAGTACGGTAAATTGTAAAAGTAATATTTTCTACATACTGTAAGTAAAGCGCTTGACTCCAACACATTCTACACTCTACTTGGTTTATTTTTAGAACATGTCTCTGACCCTTAAGCAGTCAAACATTTGCAGATGCAGTACAGCAATTAACTGCAGACTATATATTTCCCTATAGAGGTGCCTTTTTGTAAATAGATTAAATACTTAAGTAGACTTGGAATATGTTTGCCACAACCCTGAAACATGTGTCCCATTATAGCCTGAGAGTAAAATAAAATCTATTGGGGAAAAAAAAACTACAAAAAAAAACAACAGGACCTTGACCATATAGCTAATTCTCACATGAATCAGATAGATCATTCAAGTACTGACAGTGTCTTTGGATGGTTGATTCCCCACACGCCTCTATCCCATTTTTAATAGTCTTCCAAATCTAGATAGATCATACATTTTCCCAATTTCTCCTTCTATAAGCAGATTTTAAAAGCATTTTTTTGCCAATTCTGAGCAGATGGTTTCCTCTCCATTTAAATTTCTCCCATCATCTAAAATTAACCAGAGCTGAGTATTGCTCATAGGCAAAACCACAACTTCAACTTGCATTTTGCATTAGCGTTCCCATCTCTGCCTTCCTCGCAGGAAACAAAAATGTGTCAAACTGCACACTGGCCTTGTCGCAAAGTGGCGCTTGCTAAAAGCTCTCTGCGCTGACAATCACCCATAGTCACTTTATCTATAATTAGCTTATGTGCGAAATAACA